AAAAAAAAAAAAAATCATTTTCCATTGCAAAATTACATCTGCCGTTAAATGTAATACCAATGATACAAAAAAAAAAAGTTAGAAAATACTCTGATCTCTTTACCCTTTTTTTAATTCTTCATCACTAACGGTTGCGAAACTGTTGCATTTATCATACCGCTATTCTTGTTGACTGTTGTTTGCTGGTGACGGTGATGGATATTTGCTGAACCAAAAAAAAAAAAATTAGGACTTTACTTTCGCAAAGTAAATTTGGAACAAAATTCTTACTATTCACCGATCCAATAGAGCTGACAGCATAAACCTGCTAATAAACTTTCATTCAATTATAAAGCTATTTACGAGGACATCGGCTTTGAAAAATGCCTTCAAAAAATCATGAAAAATCCAACAAACGTTCCCCATACCGCGAACCACACTTCCCTTCCTCTTAATATTCAGCTATTTTCTTTTTTGTTACTCCCATTCCAACTGTTCAACCAAATACCCATTAACCACTCCAACAGTCTTATATTGATCGACCAAACATCACCATTATCGTCACCATCTACAATCGTCCCCCCAGTCAGTCTTCATTCAAAAAAAGAAAAAATAAAATCCGATCATCACAAATGCCACAACAGTCAACACGAAGCAGCACCTTCTACATGGCTATAGAGAAAAAATAATCGAACCCACCAACACTTAATGCCGAATAAATAAAGCAAAACTTACTGGTCTGCGCTCCTTTACGTTAATTTTTTTTCCTATACGTCCAAAACTAGCACACAAATAATTCTTTCAATATACCATTGCCACGTGTAACAGAAAAAACAAAAATCTGCAACGCTTACTTAACAACAAATTTTTGTTTATCTTTCTTTTTCGAGCACACTTTTTTTCCCCTTTCTAACCAATTAAATCCTACACCAACCTCAATTTTCAATGATCTCTTAATTGGATACGATCAAATATTATTAAACTTAACAAATCTTTCCCTTTTTAACACTTGTTAAGAAAACTCTTCTTATTTGCGTTGAGAGCATCAACGTTTTCAAACTAAATTATCAGTTCGGTAACTGGTAACCCAAAATTTAATGTATTCAATATTGGGATCATCTGACAATTTAAAACATAAGTACATTTTGAGATGAGCAATAGGATGACAAAAGAAAAAAATATACAGCAAAAATGATCGCAACAGGAAGAAATTGATGGGTAACAATTACCAGCGTATCACTTCCTTCAGCAGTCACTGCAAACTCGGGACACCATGAAAAATTTTTCATGTGTCATCGTTTCATCAACATCTTTTCGGTGCGCTTAAACGAAAAATGACAGCACCAAAGTGACACGTCATTTTGAGACAAAAATTGGAAAAATAAATAAATAAATTTCTCACTATAAAACAGGAGAAAACTAAATCAGTATATTCCAACCATGTGTCGTAGACCCGTTCAATACAAATAGCAAGTCAAACCATTCGCTAAGAAATTATACCAAACTTAACAATCATCCTCAAAAAAACAACATTTACAAAGTACCACAAAAATCAAAAAGCAATACCTTCTAGAAACCATTTTACGATTTAAATAACAGTATATGTTACTGTACTACTATTTTAGTTTACTTGCACAGATAAACACTTGTGTACAACTACAATTACACCACGCGATCAACAGGAATTTTTTGTATACTTGCATGAAATTCCAAAGTACAAAACACCTTGAAAAATAAAAAACCAAATATAAAAACTAGAAAAGTTTTTTGAACAACATTTTGAAACTACATTCCTGGACAATACTATTTCATGAAACCCCTTCTTAAAAAAATATGGAGTAACTTTCAACAAACTGGGAGTTTATAGCACCATATTGCTGCAGCAAGTGAAGAGCAGATGCAAATAATGTAACGATGACTGAGACAAGTATATAGTCTAATTCATGAGTTGTTTCTCCGACAAAAAAAGTCCAACCTCTTGACGCCACGTTTTAAGAATTGAGTGGCTAATTGTGATTTGGCACACTTTATTTACTAAAAGAAGGAGTAAAATTGGTCCCAT